ATAAAAAGAGGTTCGAGAGTGACGATGAGATGGTTGTATAGCGACGAGTGTTTTTCAGCATAACTTGCCGAAGAAAGAAAAAGATCCTGGAGGCTTCGTGATTAATATAGCCTTCGGGAATGAGAAAGATACCTCGGGGATGCTTGACCTGGGGCGGGCATAAATCTCATTCCCCTCTCTATCTATCAGAAACTTGGGCTCGGCGATTTGAGGCCTACCAGGATGCGCTTACAGCTTACCTCGGGGATCGCTCGCTCTCTATGGACTTTGGTGTATTGGAAGATTGATTAATAATTGTTAATTAAGTTGAGGAGTTGTGATGATGAGCATGAGTGACATATCTTGATGAATCGCTTGGTTGTTTTAATTGACATTTATCTACCTTGTGAGGTTTGAGCCGCCTTCGTTTCTTGTGAGACATTGGTCAGAATCTATTCAATTAGAATTTGTCTTGAGGCTACATTGAAATGAATCGATTGGATTTGCGAAATGTGAACATGATTGAGGAATTCCTTGTATTTTTATTCCCTTTTCTTCATCCGAAAATAGCATTCACTAGTCACCCCTTTGAGCCTTATTTCATATTTTCATTGATAACCTCGTAATGATGACATTGAGGAGTTGTGAGTTGAGAATTGGAGGTGATGATTGTTGGAGTTGTGAATATATATATATATATATACATATATATAAGGTGTGAAAACCGAATGGATTATACTCCAAGTGCTCTGACCACTAATGTAGTGAACACGAGCAATGAGTACGGGAAATGGTCTAGGAGATTCGGGCACAAAACTCGAGGGCTAAACCTAAATAAAATGTCCAGAAGGTTTTTATTAAAAAATAATAAGCAAAAAAAAAAAAGATGTTGAATGAAATGTTTGGGGAAGCGTTTTGGTTTTGGAGGATGTGGGAGAAGAGCCGGTTGGTTGTTGACAACCGGAGGAGTTTATGTTCACGGTTAGGTGATTGAGTTGAGTTGATTTATATGGAGCCACTTAGCCTATATTCCTTCCTACCTGATCCAAAGAGCATCCATTACATCCCTAAAAGTCCTCTTGATTCACTAGTTCATGAATTTGATTGTTTTAGAGTAAGGGTTAGACGATAGGCAAACCTATGATTGATATAACTGATGACCAATTTGAGTGCACCTATCTTATATCTTTGGAAGAACTTGAGTGAGGCACATATGTTATATTTCCGTACTCGAGAGTCTGTGTTTTTCAAAACTTAGTAGCCAAGCTAGTTGTTGAGATGTGCTTTTGTGGTCATTGGAATTCTTCTCGACTTGGTTGATTAATTGGAGACTAGTCTTTCTTGAAATTGTAGTCATTGCTCGTTTCGCTTGTTTTCTTTTCTTTGCTTTTCTTTTTGTTCAGGACGAACAAAAATTTAAGTGTGGGGGAGTTGTTTGTCCCATTTTTGTAGCATTTTCGTGTTTGTTTTGCCTTTCTTTTTCTCCTGTTGTAGATCCTTTCCTTGGTTTTAAGTTAGTTTTGTGGTCTGTCGCATGTTTTTCCTTATTTTGGGTTTTTTTGTTTTTTCGTTTTTGTTTCTTTATTTTCTTCGTGTTCTTGTCGTTTTTGGTGTACAGGTCGGGAGTTCCGGGTGGATATGATTTCAAGAATAAGTTGCCCAAGCAAGCATAATTAACTATAAGGGTTCGTTAGAGACGCGTAGGAAAAAACGAAACTCAATTCTGAGTTCGGACGAGCTCAAACAAACCCGAAACGCAAAGTTGCGCAGCCCAGACCCTAACGGCGCTAAGGGTGGCATAGCTAGCGGCGCTGCAAAGGCTAGCGGGCAGCAGAGACTTCCAACTTTGGTACCCTAGCGCCGCTAGGGCCTGCGAGCGGCCAAAATATATTTTTTACATTTTTCTCGTTTTTTGCTTGGTTTTTCGAGCCCTATATATTGAAACTCGTGCCCAGACCTGGGGAACATTCCTCAATCTCGCTTTTCTTCATTTTGCACCCTAGAACATAGATTGAGACCTTGCTTTTCATCTCGAATTTCTTCTTCAATTTTCCGGATTAAGCTTGTTCATTGGATACGACTCTCAGTTCTCTATTAATCGTAAGTTTTCATTTTCATCTAATCCTTGAATATGAATGCTTGGGTTTTTGAGTGGTTTCTTTGAATTCCATATGAGTAACTAATTCGATTCGCTAGGGATAGGGGATGATGTTTTGAATTCGTTTGTAATTATCTTGTTTGATGACTATTCAATTTATGCGAGTAGATTTTAAATAGGGCTGTTGATATCCGAGTCCGGACCCAGCGTAGGTACCGGTTCGGGCCGAGGGAGCCGGTCACCAAAACCGCACATGGGTGCCGAGCTGAATGAGAGTCAAAGTTGTCTAGAACGGTGGGAGGAACCAGTTCCCAGATCGGCACCATATCCATGTGGTTACTAGGTCGGCACCTCGCACCAAGTCTCGCAAGGGCGGCTCCTGATAGAGGAACGACGTCGGACACAATAAAATAATGCCACTTGTCTACGAATGATTGCCGATGGGACATCCTACTCAGCCAGAACGTGTCCGCATTTAATGCAGCCCACGTTCGCATTAAATGTATGGCAGGCAATGATTAGAGAATCCGGAAATCACTCCTAATCAGTCAGAAAAGCGCCGGCTTGTCCCATTGAGCCACTGTACGACAAGACCGCTGAACAGTACCCGTACAGTGCGACATTGAAGGCTACTATAAATAGCAACTTACCTCATTTATTTTGGGTTGTTGAAATCCCAACTACTCAAGCCCATATTTTCTCTCTCTAAAGAACTTGTAAGAAACTCGTGTAAGCAATATAAGGATATCGCAAGTGCCGACCTCGTACGAGAGGCCGAACTCGTGATCCATTAATAAGACCGTAATTAAACCGTATTTCTTCGTCTTTTTCTCATTATTTTTCCTATTACTTGACTTTTTAACCGTTGACCGGAAACGTCCGTCAACAAGGGCTTTCAATTATCATGCTTGAATGTTGAATATTGTTGAAGAGTGAGACTTCAATTAACAATTGATTCACAATTGAATATGATTCGTTCTTGGATGATCTTTTCAATTCTAAAAGATTAGTCGGTTAACCACCTTCTAATCTAATTTAACTGACTCTTAGAACCGAAAGGGGAGGAGTTGATCGATCTAGGCTCGTATAAAATAGGCTTGTTCGTAACTGTATTGCCTATGTGTTAAACGACTCGTTGATTTGTCGTTCATGTTCAATCTCTTGTTATGAAAAGTTATTGAGGGTGAATCTCTGAACGAGTAGGTTATTCGAATCCTTTAACCGAATGATCACTTGCTCGTTAATTGCATTTTGAACCGAAACAAATTTCTCTGATTCTCTAGTTTTTTTATCATTGTCGATCCATTGTCTTGCTTTGAATTTAAGTTTTCGTTGTTTGAGTTTCCTTAGTTGATAATGAAACCAAAACCAATTTTGAATTAGAATGCTTAGGAATTTAATTTCTCTTTTTGTGATTGGATAATCATACAAATAATCCGGCTAACCTTCCTAGCGATACGATCCGGGGATTGAATCTTTTGATTTAACTCCGGTAAAAATAACTACAACAAACTCAAGGAATCTTAACACAAGGAATTGGTGAATAAAGTTCAATTTTTATATATTAGTTTATGCTATAAAATGTGCATAACATCGGATATTTAAAGGTAGAAACTTAGCCTAAACTTATGGGAAATAAGCTACTAATATATGAAAATCAAATCAACTTAGGATCCTAAAATTACCCAACTTATTGTAAGCCTAAATAATCTAAGAAATCAATTGCAAACACGTGGAAATATCTAGGAATAATCTAGAAAAGAATTAGATAAAAAATCCTTCCAGAAGCCTCGGTTTCTTGATCGACAAGTTAAACCCGCGCTGTCTGTCCCGGGTTGCGCGACCTTGATGCGTCCAGTGCGCCCGTCCACTACTGCCATTGCGCAGTTCTCACGTGCGTCGCTTGCGCGCACCCGAGAGGGTCGCTAGCGTTTCCAGCACCCCAGAGCGCCCGGGTATCGCCAGTGTGCGCCCGAGCGGGTTTTCCCAGCGCGCTTGTCTGCTGCGTGCGTGCCTTGCACCCCTGTTGCACCCACACTAAGCACCCACGCATGCGACGCACCAACCCCATGCGCCCGTGCACCCGTGCTGCTTACGCCATGGTCTCATGCACCCGTGCCGCCTACTTCCATCACGCTTGTTGCACTATTGCTCGCGCCCATGCACGAGGTCGTCCCACTTGCCTTGGTGGCCCGTCGAGCCAATTTCTCACATCCTCATCAGCAAGTGCGTTCGCGGGCGCGAATAGAACAGTCGCGGGTAAAGGGTGCACTCGCGACTAGGGTTGTAAACGAATCGAATCAAAGCGAATACTCAGAAATTCGATTCGGATTCGTTAAAATATTCGAAGATTCGAATTCGTATTCGATTCGTTAACGAACTCATTTTTTGATTCGTATTCGATTCATTTAGAATATTCGAACATATTCGATTCGATTCGATATTCGTTTTAAAAAAAAATATAATTAAAAAATATTATAATTACAAAAAATAATTTTTATTTTTCATATATTTTTAGGAAAATTTGTTAATTTATGATGTTTTTACTTTTTATGTCATAAAAATAGTAGGAATATAGCAATATATATATATACATATATATTATAAACAAAATGTATACTATATATAATTTATAAAATTTATATAATTATTGTTAACGAATCGAATATTCGACTTTTGAATCGAATATCTACAAATTCGAATTCGGATTCGTTCAACTTTCGAATATAAAACATTATTCGTATTCGAATTCATTCGAATTCGAATCACGAATATCGAATCGAATAAAAAAAATTTGATTTGTTTACAAGCCTACTCGCGACCTGGGCGAACCATTTCGCTGCCACAGCAACGCGCAAGATGCACGGGAGTATGCGCGCAGGGCCGAAGATCACGCGGACAGGCACGACGCGGACGCACGCACATGACAGGGAGCTCACGCGACATTTTCGAGCTGGGCATGGGCAAGGCCGCACCACGCTCGGGCCAAGCTGGCAGTCCAAGCAAACCTAGGTCTGGGCGTGACCAGCGTGTGCACAAGTTTAACTTTCTAGATGGAAAATCTAATAGATTGCATATCTAGGTTATTAGTTAATTATTCATAGTAGGTTTAGATGTCTCAGAATAATTGGCATGTGCCAAATTAGTTATTTGGTAATTATTAGGATTTAAGATATATATATATTATTTCCTTAGGCTTAGAATACTAATTCTCATGGGATTAATTTTTTTATCTCCCATAGACTTAATATTTCTCTTCTATAAATAAGCCTATGTACTCATTCAATTTTATTGCTTGAATTAATAAAAAATCCAACCATTGGTCACCAGTCTTTTGTGTTAGAATTCTTTCAAGTTTTAGTACAAAATCCCTGTGTCAAAAAGGGCGTTTCATAGCATAGTTCGTCATAAGCTCGAGTTTGGCAAGGATTAACATTCGAGCTGTCTCGCCTAGCGTCGAGAAGGAGGTGTTTAGCATCATTTGAAGCAACCTATCTCCGAGAAGGATGTGTCCTAGCATCCTTGGAAGCAAAATCGAGTATCAAGATACACGATTCTTCATCACTTATGTTCCGCGACCCTGCGAGCCCAGACCCGAGAGAACCATGCCAGACTCGCGACCCGGACACTGATTCACGACCTTGCGAGTGTGTCTCATTAAATTTATGTGTTTTAGTGTGTTTTTGTGGTGTGACTATAAATGACATAATGCTTTGTATTTTTGGAACAATTTCTCAATTGCAAGATTTTTCTTCTTAGTTTTTCTCTCTCTATATATATATTTTCTTTCTCTCTATAATGGCTCCATGACCCAATTTTTATTGTAATACTTTTCCATCAATATTGCAACTTTCCAACTTATTTCTTCCCATGGATGCACTAGAGACTTGAATACTTAGTTTAAGGTCTAAGATCTTGTAAGTTTTTCTTGTGTTTACTTATTATATTTTTCTAGGGTAAAGATAGGAGCTTTCATGAGTAGATTATGATTTCATCCTTGTAGGTTAGGGATTATGTGATTTTGTTGTTGATTGCGTGAGCGAGAATTGATTTAGAGCTCGATTAGTTGATTCGCGAGTTACAATTGCTTGATTACATGTTTCTGAACATATAAGTGTCTTCTTTCCATTTCGGGTCATAGGGTACCTTGTTCTTTTTCTTTCTGCTTTCCATTTTCTTGCAAATTGAGGTCTTGTTTGTGCTAAAGTTTAAATCTTGCTTTCATTCTAGCGCAAATTTCGATATTTAGCTCAATTCAACCACCAAATTGCGAGTAGAGTGTTAGGACATTTCTTTTTCTTTTGTGTGTGAGTCAATCGTTGCTTGAATTCGTGGCCGAACAACCTTCCTCGAGAGACACAACCCGAGGTCAAAATTTATTCTGTACTCAGCTAAAAGACTACAAAACATGAAGCTAGACCGTCAGATGATGAGTATCGAAATCAAGGGCAGAGATCATAAGAAGACAGAGTTGAAAAGACTGACTCTGGGAACCATTGGATTAGAGGTGATATCGATGGCTAAGATGGGGCAGACCAGTGGAAAAGACAGCGAGGTGTAACCAGTTGATTAAAGGCAGATCCAACGGACGACATTAATAAGGCGTTGAATGGGTACGTCATACGAAGCAGCGTGATTTACGGGGCGGTGGCGTCAGCCAAACGTTCTGATTGATGGGATCTAACAAGATGACATAAGTTTGAATTTTGAATTAAAGATTGCAGGGGAGTTCGAAGATTGTGTTGCAGAATTGAAGAAAAATAAGCAGACTGGTCGAAAAATTGTTGTGTAGCAGAACTGAAGCAAATGCAAGCAGACAGGTCGAAAGGCAAAAAACCGAATATAAATTGTGTTCATACGGCATTGAATGCATTAGTTCAGTTCGGTTTTTTTAATTTCCGTGCGGTTTTGCTGACATTTACATATTATCATTTCACAACGGAAGGTTAGAGGGCAACGTTGTCTTCTAATTATCAGAACGATCCGTTTAATCGTTATTTTTGAAATTACTATGAGATACTTTTGCAGTTATATGTATATAAATGCAAACATATATTTATAATTTTCTCTGTCAACAAAGTTAAAAGCAAAAGAGAAAATGCAAACAAGTATATAGTATAGACATATATAATTAATCTTTCTGACGCTCCATTTCACCCTCTCAACCAATCTCAACAAACATCTCTCGGGGAAAAAAATTGCCAACCCACACAAGCTTTTAGGTTTATGATTTTTGTTTTGTGAAAGTTCTCAGATCTGTCCGCATTTCATGTTCAATTGATTTTTAATTCAGGTATGAATCGTATTGATTCAATCAGTTTGATTGCATTATTTCACGTGGTTTTTGTTTGAATCGCATTTTGGACTTCCTATTCTCGGTGATGATTTCTTTTGGCATAGCATTTTTTGGTTAAAGAGTTTGGGAAATCTAGGGATTCGATTGCATTGGTTTTTGCTTGGGCGAATTACGTTGATGGGTTGCTCTGATTTCCANCTCCTCATAAGCGTCTGTTACTTTAATCTGATTTAGATTAGAAGTGACATTGAAATTCACTTTCTGTTTCTATTTTGTCGTTTTTTTAGTGTGGAAGAAGTAGATCTCCAAAATTGGCTCCTCAGAAGAGATCGATGCGCCACGTGGGTGGCCAGATGCAGCAGGGTAGTGCGGCGGGGGCCACTGCTCTGTACGAGAATGGTGGCCCGGCAGTCTCTGGTGGAGATGCGGGGGATGCTGTCATGGCCCGCTGGCTGCAGTCTGCTGGGTTGCAGCATCTGGCCTCTCCAATGGCGTCCAATGCAGTGGATCACCGCATGCTTCCTAATCTATTGATGCAGGTAAAAACCATACACCTCTGTATCTTTCTGAAAATTGTTTTCTTCCTATTCCAGTGAATTGTGTTTGTAAACCTCAAGTGTTCTGATTAAATGTTTTCTTTCCAATAATGAAATGAAGAAAATACAATTTTGATATCAGATTTCTGTTGGGTATTACTGGTGCCATGTGTTTGAATTGAGTTTTATATGTCTGCATGTGGTATTTTAGTGTCAAGAAATGCTCCGACTGAGCATTTTTTGTTGCCTGTTTCATTTTTAAGGTTTTTGTATTTTTTTTCTCTCTCTCGGTTTTTATCGTTTCTTTTTGAATGGGGAGAAAGATTAATGAGAAAAGAGTTTAATATTGATTTCTGGGCAAAAAAAAAAGTATCTGAGTTGATGATTAATTGGGTGAGTTTGATGATGCGCGAAGGGCTATGGACCTCAGTCTGCAGAAGAGAAGCAGAGGCTTTTCAAACTTATGAGGAATCTCAACTTCAATGGTGAAACTAGTTCTGAGCCTTATACCCCAAGTGCCCAAAGTTCGGGTGCATTTGCTTCGTCAGAAGGATTTTATTCTCCTGAGTTTAGGGGGGATTTTGGAGCTGGACTTTTGGATCTACATTCTATGGATGACACAGAGCTACTGTCTGATGTATGTCGCCCTTGATGTTGACGTTATCCCATATTATTCTCATCGGATCTGAAGGTTAACCATTTATAGTTTCATATTGTTCTTCCCAGCATGTTATTTCTGAGCCATTTGAGCCTTCTCCTTTCATGCCTGCTGTGAGCAAAGCTTTTGAGAGCAACTTTGATGAGGTAGCCAACAGACAGCAGAGAGGGCAAACAGACACAGAGACACCTGCTGGATCATCTGCTAATGAAAAAGAAAACAGCACGAGGGAGAACAATGTGGCTAAGATTAAAGTTGTGGTATGCTGAGTATTAGTGTCTTTCTCATTATCTACCAATTGAATAATATTTGGTATAGTGGTTGGGTATGCACTATGAAAATACAAGTTAAAATGTGTCTTTCGAGTATAGGTACGCAAGAGGCCTTTGAACAAGAAGGAACTTTCTCGCAAAGAGGATGATATTGTGACTGTGTACGATGATGCCTATTTAACGGTCCATGAACCAAAGTTAAAGGTCTGTATATGTTTACTCTGTTAAGGGTGTTTTGTAAAGTGTTTCTTTCTTTCCTTTTCTTTTACTTTCCTGACATGGGGAACTCGCGTTTGGAATTCATGCTAAAGGTCGACCTGACTGCATATGTGGAGAAACATGAATTTTGTTTTGATGCAGTTCTAGACGAGCATGTGACGAATGATGAGGTAATATATCTATGATCAACGCCTTCTTCATCTCGTGTTCTATAATATAGTATTTCAAAAATTACGCACCTTGATTTAGAATTGTGGAGGGAGCCTGCAGAGCCAGGTACTAATTCAGTTTCTGCATGTCGTATCAGGTTTACCGGAATACTGTGGAGCCAATTATACCCACCATTTTTCAACGTACCAAAGCTACATGTTTTGCATATGGTCAAACAGGTATGCATCTTTTTCTTATTGGTTTATATTGTCAGAGAAAGCTGCCGTGTTAACAATGGTGACAGTGGTTTGGTGTTACTCTGCTTTACATAGAAACCAGAATGTGAATTCTTTCTTCAGAGTATTGTTGTATGGTTAGTGTTATTCTCTTGATTCTAATTGCCCATATTTACTTGTCAAATGTCCCCTCTTTTGTCCTCAGGAAGTGGCAAGACTTACACAATGCAGCCATTGCCTCTCAGAGCAGTAGAAGACCTTGTTAGATTGCTGCATCAGCCAGTTTATCGTAATCAAAGATTTAAGTTGTGGCTTAGCTATTTTGAGATCTATGGGGGAAAACTATTTGATCTGTTGAGCGATAGGAAGTTAGTATTCTGATTTGGTTTCTTTAATCTTGTATTGAATTTCAATCAGTTATGACCTTGGTACATGTCAAGTTCATAACATGAATGTTTTATCTAATGGGAAATGACTATAATGTTGCCTTTCATATCCCAAAGTTGTTCCGTAGACATGTGAAAACAATTATTACTAAAAGAATTATCCCCCTTAAATTTTTTATTCAATGTTTGCATCATTGTGCAGGAAATTATGCATGAGGGAAGATGGCAGACAGCAAGTTTGTATTGTTGGATTGCAGGAGTTTGAAGTATCAGATGTGCATATTGTGAAAGAATATATTGAGAGGGGAAATGCAGCTAGAAGTACTGGCTCAACCGGTGCTAATGAAGAGTCCTCAAGATCACATGCAATTTTGCAACTGGCTGTGAAGAAGCACCCGGAGGTGAAAGAATCTAAGAGAAATATTAATACTAATGATGCCAATGAATCCAGGAGTGGGAAGGTTGTTGGAAAGATTTCTTTTATTGATCTTGCTGGTAGCGAGAGAGGTGCTGACACTACAGATAATGATCGACAAACGAGGTATTTCTTTCAGCTGTTCCCATAGGCTATGCCTTATGTCTTGCATTATACCCGTTGGTTTAGGCCAGACGAACTGAACTTTTTCCCTCGTCTGTATTAGTTCCTTCATTTTCATTAGTTATGATATTTTTTGTGAATTGTTGTATAATTAGTTGTGGGTCAAGTGACCTTTTTGTACTTTATTAGTAGTATTAATGATATCTTAGGTAAATGTGGTTATAAGATTGTTCCATGTCTATGAATTTGCTAAGATGGTGTTAAATGTATGATTTTTAGTATAAGCAACAGTTTAGGTGGCCTGTATTTATCCACTATATCAGTTTGAATCTCGAGCTTAACTTGCATACCTGGATAGAGGTTTGCAAATTTATTTGTTTTCATTTTCCTTTTTATTTCCTTGATTGCTCTATATTGATTGACGATATAATGAAAAATCCTTGTGTGAGTGGGAACAAGTAAGAACCATTGCCCTTATTGAGTATCTGAAGACATTATGATATGTTTCATATAACCTTAGGAGGTTTCATGTAACCTTTAGGAGGGTCCATATAACCTTAACATGGAATTATTGAATGCACATGTGCATTAATTTTCTTTCTCATTAAACCACTTTGTTTTTACAGGATTGAAGGAGCCGAAATTAACAAAAGTCTATTGGCACTCAAGGAGTGTATTCGAGCGCTTGACAATGACCAGATTCACATCCCATTCCGTGGAAGCAAACTTACTGAGGTGCTCCGTGACTCTTTTGTTGGTAATTCACGGACTGTTATGATCTCTTGCATCTCCCCAAACGCTGGCTCATGTGAGCACACTCTCAATACCTTGAGATATGCCGATCGGTAAGCCATTTTCTTTTTAACCTGATTCCCACTGTGCAATTGTCCACGAATTAAGCCTATTGAGTCGATTTTATGTGACAGGGTCAAAAGTCTTTCCAAAAGTGGAAACCCACGAAAAGATCAGGCGAATTCACTGCCACCTGTTGTCAAGGAACCTTCATCATCGGCTCCGACTTTGCCGGTAACTGCTGAGTCAGATGATGCGTATGAGCAGCTTCAAGTGTCTAAAGTAGTGGATACAAGCAGAAGGCGTGCGGCTAAGGAAACTCCATCTTTTAACGATGAGAAACTTCCATCCAGTTTTTCCTCGAATGTCAACTTCAATGGCCATGAAGGAGTTGAGCTAGCCGCTGGTGGTGAACGAGAACGGCCTCTTGATGTTAGAAATGCTTTTAGGGCTCCTCCTAGCCAGAAGATTTCGGTGGGCAGTTATTCACAGAGTTCAACTGATGTTGAAGAGAAAATGCAGAAAGTGTCCCCACCACGACAGAAAGCAGCTTACAGGGATGAAATGGTTGAGAAGGCGGGAAAAAGAGATATTGACAGCTCGGATATTATGTCGCCAAGTAGTTATAAGCAGAGGATGGCGTACAGTTCTAGTACGAGTAACACTGGCACTAAACAGTATGAACCCGAGCCATCTCCCGATGGGAGGATGAATGAGATACTTGAAGTTAGTTTATGAACTGTTTCTTGATTAGTTCGGTTGTGTTCGTGTAAAGTCTTCAATTGCGTATTTATCGTGTATCTTGTTGATTTTGTCTGTTTAGGAAGAGGAGGCTCTTATTGCCGCGCATAGAAAGGAGATTGAAGATACTATGGAGATAGTTCGTGAGGTAATAAATAATTTTCTTCTCTTTATTTGCCTCTTTCCTTGATGTCAATCGTTATTTGATTGAAAAAGCAACTATAGATTACTTTACATACGGAGAATCTCGTTTCAGAGTATATGATTTGGGCCATTTGGATAAAACAAGTTGTAGGAATTAATTACAAACCGACAAAATAAAAGAAATAAATAGATAAAAGAAAAAATATACTTGTTGCTAGGACAAGCCTTGAGGAGGTGTTTCTGTGATCTAAAAATGCCTGAGGCTTCCTAGTTATGATGTTACCAAAGTTGGTTTTGTTATTTACCCTGATTGAAATGAGCAACATGCCTAAACTTCTAAAGTGCAACTGTGCAAAAGATGATGACCTAAAAAGGTGACCCGTTTACTGTACACATGTATGTCAGGAGATGAAACTATTAGCAGAAGTTGACCAGCCGGGCAGCCAAATTGACAATTACGTGACGCAATTGAGTTTTGTCCTCTCCCGGAAAGCTGCTAGTCTGGTCAGCCTTCAAGCCCGGCTGGCAAGGTTCCAGCATCGGCTGAAAGAGCAGGAAATTCTTAGTCGAAAGAGGGTACCCCGCTAAGAAGAAAGCGACACTTTCAGTTTCGAAAGGCATTAATGCACTTTTTATTATTGTGTACCAAATTAACTGCTAAGTATACATACAAAAATTGCAAGGCTTGAGTTTGTACTTGTGGAGCACTAAAGGCAAAGGTACAACTGTTGAATGAAAAATGTTGTGAAACTCATGGGTTATCTGGTGTTTTCCACTTGTTATGTTGCAAATCTGGGAAGAGTTATGGGACTGCAAGCACACCGAACACGAAGATGGCTCTCTATATTTCTTGATTCTGAACGTTGTTAACAAGAATGTGTTTATAGCTAGATTCTGTTGTACATTTCTTGCCTTTTTCTTTCTTTGATCGTTGGGCCTTTTCGCTTTTGGCTTTGCCCCGGTGTAGTGTTAGAATCAACCTATGTAAGAAGATTGTCTGGAAGACTGGATTGAACCCTGGTATTTTATTTCGAGCATTTGTTTCATTTGCCAGGTGTTTTAAGCGCTTCATATTTGTGAGATTTAATGTGGCGAGTTTTTCATTTTTGGTCAATTTTTAGGGTGAATTTCTTCTATACCTCACTATATACATGCATTTTTTTTATGCACTGCCATATCAAAAAACTTTTTTTTTTTTTTCATCCCAATAATCGCGAAAGTAAATGCAATTTAAATTGCATATCCAAATGAACTGTATAATTAACAATTAAATGAGATTTTGTCGTTGATATAATAACGTATATTCAAGTCTACCACATAATTTTTGTTATGAACATTTATTTCGCCTATATAATTATCGAATATCTAAATTAATAGCCCCATAATTTACGATTATGCGACAAGTTTTTGCATAATTTGTCTAACATATCCAAATCAGACGCATAATTAACAAGTATGCGGAACATTCACGCATATTATGTAATCGCGTATTCAAATCCAACGTCGCATATTTGAAGTTATGCGACATATTTCGCATAGTTTACGACATCCAAATCCACCACATAATTTACCATATGCGAGAAGTTTTCTTATATTCAAGAATCGAATATCAAAATCCAACGTCACATATTTTATGTTATGCGACATGTCTTTGCATAGTTTAAGACTCACATATCCATCTACCGCATAATTTATCATATGCGAGAAGTTTTCTTATATTCAAGAATCGAAGATCCAAATTCATCGCATATTTTATGTTGTGAGACATGTTTTTGCATAGTTTACGACTCGTATATTCAAATTCACTGCATAATTTACCATATGTGGTAAAGTTTTCGTATATTCAAAAATTGAATTTTCAAATCCAACGTCGCATATTTTATGTTATGCGACATGTTTTCGCATTTTTACGACTCTCATGTCCAAATCCACCGTATAATTTATCATATGCGAGAAGTTCTCGTCTATTCAAGAATCGAATTTCCAAATCCAACGTCGCAGGTTTTATTTTATGCCACATGTATGCAATTTTATCTTATGCGACATGTTTTCGCATAGTTTGCGACTCGCATATCCATATCAATCGCTAAATTTACCATATGCGTTAACGTTTTGCATATCAATAATCGCATATCCAAATCGAATGTTTTTTTTAGCATAGTATACGTCTCGCATATCTAAATACAACTCTTAATTTACCATATGAGATAATGTTTCGCATATCCAAATCAAACGTCACATATTTAATGATTATGCGACAAATATTCGTATAGTTTACGACTCGCATATCCCGATCTATAACACCGTATAATTAACTATTATGCGTAATATTTTTGCATATTTAAGAGTTGTGCATTCAAATCGAAAGTTGCATAATTTAGTACTCTTCGTCATTTTAATTGCATAGTTTAAGCACCGCACTGATTGTCTGATTTTTCACGTAAAAGACTTAGACAAATGGCATGTATATATAAAACCATTATTAGTACTCATTAATAGCTAACCTTTCACTTCTCAAAACCAAAAACAAATAAAAAACCACTAGCAAGAGCAAAAATCCTTTATATTCTGATTGCAGCCTAAAAACAAAACATTAAGCGCGTTTTCAGAAAAAAAAAAAAATGTATAGGATTTTACGCAATAAGCATATTGCAATCCATTTCCATGGCGTGGAATGGACCTAGGTGTAGCTCCCCGTTCTTTTTAATAAAAGAATAACCTGTTTTTATTCAATAGCAAAGCTCAATTTAATTATTTGAGCTTGAATAATTTTAATAGTAATTGTTTAATAAAATTTTATTGTAAATTACACGAATTATTAACCATAACATTATTATCATTAGTAAATTTATCCATTTAAAATTGTTAGCCAAATAATTCATTTGGTATTTAAAAATAAAATAAATAAGAAACAAGAAAGGAAGAGAAAAGAGGTTAGAAACCTCACCTTAAGTGAAGAGAGAGGTAGGTCAAAACTCCCTTAATTGCCTAATATCTAACAATCCTCTCGCAATGGGAGCCCCGATTACTGTCGCCGGAGTAGATGAAGTGTCTGTATTGAAGGCCGATTAGTAGAGATCATTCTCTCAACTCTACCCCCAATATATCAGCTTTCTCTTCACCCCTTTTATCTTGTTCCTAGTTTTTCCCCCCTTTTCGGACTATTATTCTGGTGTTTTAGATTTTTGATTTGCAGGTTGCGGAGGGTATGTTTTCTTTAGCATCCCTTGGAATTAACTTCTCAGTAATCGCGTCATGGAAGAAGAAATTGTTCAGAAATTGACATCTTTTCAACTCTCAGATAAGGAGGCAACCGTCACAGCCCTAGACCCAATAGACGTCCATAACAGTATGAAGGTTTGTAAGAGGAGTTTGTTTGGCAAAATTCACGATCACAAAAAGGCACAACTCCCAGGCCTACGGAGAGAGATCGAAATTATCTGGAAAATTAATCTTTTGTTTCAATCCGTGAGCCCAGCACAAACTACTGTCAGTTTGTGTTTGAGGATATTGAGGACAAAATCAAGATGAGCAAAGGCACTGCCTGGACATTCAAAAACCAGTTCCTTGTTCTTAGAGATTGGCAAGAGGATCTTCATGCTGATCATCCCAGCTTCAAAGAACATGATTTATAGATTCAGGCTTGAAACCTACCTTTTGATTGGTGTTCAACTGAAGTTGGGGCCAGGATTGGAAGTGTATTCAATAAGGTCAAGAATGTTTCCATCCCTCACAATGGATGGTTAGCAGGTAAACGTATCAGACTGTTAGTATCTATCAATTTGGATCAACCATTGCTGAAATGTGCATCCCTCATGTTTCAGAATAGGAAAATCTTGGTGGATTTTAAATATGAAAAGCTAGTGAGTCTCTGCTACTATTGTGTCTTATTAGGTCACTTGGACAGGAACTGTGAAGTAAGATCAGCAGATATAATGAATGGGAAAGTGAAGGAAGGATTGTTTGGGGAATGGCTGAGAGCTCCAGATTATCCTCATCTTAACCCCAGTTCACCTCATAATGTCAATTCAGAATCTCCTATACCAAGTGCAACCTCTCTTTCTAAACCATCTCCCTCAGCCAAACCTTCAACCTAAACCTCTGAAACAGAACATCAAACCTCCATTAAACCCACACAGCCCCATACCACAGATCAAACAACTGTCTCCCATCCCCTCCTTCTTCTCAGCCAGAACAACATATACCTTCTTCAAAAAATCTAACTGATCACATAATGGCAGATGAACCTCAATTCCCTCTAGATAACCTCTCCCAAATTATCCCCTTTACGTCTGAAATTTTCCATAACCCTTCTCAATGTACTAAGCCAAAGAAATGAAAAAGAAAAGCCACTCCTAAACCAAAAACAAATCCCACCCCATCTTCTTCATCAATTGTCACCAGAGGCTAAAGACAACTCTCCATCATTACCTCGCCTGATCCCCCTACCCCAAACTCTGTTGACCATTCAATCCAGTTAACACATTGCCCCAAAAAACAAAAACTTGCTCTGTCAGTGGTGAGGAAGGCTAGCCCAGAATGGCCCCACCCCAATCAATGAACACTATATTTTGGAATTGTAGAGGGTTGGGTGGCGCCTATACAGTCTCCCAACTCAAGAAGTGTGTGACTCCACACCTCAATTTTAACCTTTTTATCTAAAAAAAAAAAAGAACAACTTTATTAAGACTGTATGCAGAAACTTAGGAGTAGGAGATAACTGAACTTCGTTTGAACCCAATGGAAAGAGTGAAGGTCTCCTCCTTTTTTGGAACTCTTCCACAACTATCATTCAAATCCTTAAAAAATCCTTTTGTATCCAAGTGTACTTCTGGGATCCTAAGTTGCAAGCTTCTTGTTGGGGGATTTATATCTATGCTAGTACAGACCATGCAACCAGAATGGAGCAAAGAGAATTTATTTTACAAGAAAAGCAGAACTGGGGCAACTATTGATTTGTTGGAGGGGATTGGAACAAGATCACAGGGCATGAGAATAAAAAGGGTGGCAGAACCAGGTTGAACTCTTCATTCAGATACTTCAATGAATTCATTCATAATCTTGGGGGCGAGCATGATTTGGATTTGCTGGGAAACCAATATACTTGGGAAGACTGCAGAACTGAAGAGGGATATGTGGAGGAAAGGCTTGATAGGGTTTTTGCTTCTATAGGTTGGTCATCACATTATTCCTCTGCACAAGTGACTAGTGTGTTTAGATCATCATCAGACCACAACTTGCTTCTCATGAAATCTCAACCTGCCCGGAATCCCTCTAAAAAGAGATTCCTCCTTGATAAAAGATGGCTCTCCAAGCCTGGTGTCCAAGAAATTGTTGCTTCAACTTGGTCTTCTTTCTCTACTGGCATGAAGCAAAAACTGGAGCAACTTAACAACACCTTACTCTACAAAGAACAACAGGAGATGATAGAGATTTGCAGCTTTGGGAGGATTGTAAAAGAGAACTGAACAAAGACCAGCTTGAGGAGCAATTTTGGAGGCAAAAGGCAAGAATCAGTTGGCTTCAGAATGGTGATAAAAATTCTAAGTATTTTCATGCCCAGACAGCTCAGAGGAGAAAAATAAACAGTATAACCAAAATTCACAAAGAGGATGGCACACCTTGTGTCACCACAGAGGAGATCACTGGTTGTATTGAAGAATCTACACTCAACTCTTTACTTCTGAGGGCTCTGCAGGAGGGTTAAATCTATTGAGTAATATCCCACCAGTCATCACTGCAGACATGAGATGTTAACCATGGTGGATGAGACATAAATCAAGGAATCCCTCTTCAGCATTGACAACAACGAAGCCCCGGGCCTTGATGGTATGACATCCTCCTTTTTTCACTTCTTCTGGGATATTATTAAATCATATTTTTGCTCTTCTGTCTCTAGCTTTTTTTATTCAGGCAGAATTCTTAAGAGCCTTAATCATACCCTTATTACCTTAATACCAAAAATCTAAAATCCAATTTTTGTTTTCCACTACAGACTTATTAGCCTATGTAGTGTCTTTTATAAAACTATCTCTAAAATCCTTGCCAATAGGATTAAAAAATGGCTTCATCTTTGTATCAATGATACCAATCAGCCTTCATGCAGAAAGGAAAATTATTGATAATGTTATTATTGCCCATGAATCTTTGCATTTTGTCAATAGGCATAGATCTGGCAATTCTTTTTACATGGCCATTAAATTGGACATGTCCAAAGCTTTTGATAGGGTGAAGTGGCCTTGCATTAGCCAAACCCTTTGTAGGTTAGGCTTTGACTCTCATTTCATTAATTGGATTATGGCTTGCTTAACCTCTACATGCTTCTCATTCAATGTTAATGGGGTTCACTCAGGCTTTGTCCAAGCTAGTAGAGGAATCAGACAAGGAGACCCTCTGTCTCCCTATATATTCATTTTAATCTCAGAAATTTTCTCTAGTATGATCAAGGCTGAAGTGGCTAATGGAAATTGGAACTGTCTAAAAATCAGTACAGATGGTCCCAACCTCACCCACATTGTTTTTGCTGATGACACATTGCTTTTTTCCTAAGCCACCAATTAGCAAGCCCTCTATTTGTTAGACATCCTCAAGAAATACCAACTCTTCACTGGGCAACTTGTTAACCTCTCCAAGTCCTCTATATCTTCAGTAAGAATACCCATCCTCATATCCATTCCCAAATTTGAAACACTCTTCTTGGCATCTCAGTGCAATTCTCTTCTAAATATCTGGGCCTGCCTATGGGTTTGGAGAAATCTAATATTGACACTTTTGCATATGTGGAAAAATCTGTTAAAAGTAGGATTTTGAACTGGAAAACCAAGCTTCTGTCTGCTGCAGGTAAAGATATGCTGATCAACTCAGTCTTGAGTGCACTGCCCATTTATACAATGTTTTGTTTCCTCATTCCAAAAGCCACCAAAGCAAATATTGATAAATCTGTTGTTGAATTCTGGTGGAAAAATGGAGATCAAAGCAAAAGGAATATCCACTGGAAATCCTGGAGTTCAATCACCATTACAAAGTACAAAGGTGGATTGGGTTTCAAGGATGTCAACCTCATGAACAAGGCCCTTGTCACTAAAGAAATCTGGAGGATCCTCACCAAGCCCAATCTACTTGTCAGCAAAGTATTGAAGGCCAGATACTTCCACAAAGACAGTTTCTTCAACATTGCAAAGAAGCAAACTAACTCATAGCTCTGGAACAATTGGTTAGATGTGAGAGACTCTCTGGTGTTGAGTTCTCAATACGGTGGACTGAGATATGAAATAAGAAATGGCCGAAGGATCAGCATTTGGAAGCAACCTTATATCCCTTCCATCCCAAAACTCAATCCCAATGTCAGCAGACAAGCACAAAGTGGTCTACATTGGGTTAGTGGTCTTTTGGATGAGACAGGAAGGCACTGGAACCTAGAAACTCTCCACTCAATTTTCTCTACACCTGAAATTAAAGCCATACTTACAATCAAGGGACTTGATCCTCATGGAGTGGACAAGCTTGTTTGGGATGGTACTACCTCTGATCATCCCCTCTCTGTCTCCTCTGTTTACTCAAGTTTGATGGAGGGCAAATGGACATCTCTGGATTTTCTTGAAAGTAGTAGAGGTCAGAAAAGCACAGCTGGAATGAGGATAAGAAGTTGGTATGGGAAATCTGGAAGGACAGAAACCTCTGGACTTTCCAGAAAATCAGAAAACTTGAGCCATTCATTGTACAAACTGCTCTCAAGAACTGGGTAGAATTTCTGTTTCACAATCTCATTGAACCATGATAGAACTGTTGCCGAGTCATTCTTCTTCTCGGGTTAGATCATGGGTTCTGGTTCTGTTGGTTTGTTTTCTCATCTTTCTGTCTCTGGTATTTTTTGTTAGAGTAGAATACCCGGCGTTCCAATCAGATTGGATTTATTTCTACTTGTAAAAATAATTTATTGGAATTATATTAGTTTACGGCATTGCTTTATCTTATGTCTTTGCATGTATCCTATATTTGCACATATGATAAAGTCCTTAGATCATTATTAGCTATAAGGCATGGTTGCGCATTTGATGGCAATCATGGAACATGTCTTTAAAGCTATGATCTTAAATAAGTTTCAAGTCAATGGGTATTTCGAGACAGGACATCGAATAACCCGGTAAGACTTGTGCATATGATGCATGTTCGTAGGACGAGAATGTTACATTCCATCAATATTAGCGTATGGACGCAAATGCATATATGTGGGTGCTAGTTAGAGAACAAGTTCACTGAACATAGCCCAGTGAAAATTCTTAACTAGAAGTTTTTAATAAGAATTTTCATGTTGCAATAGTACATGACTGATCCTTTGACTTGAGGCACGATAGTAATCTTGTGCATGTTGTGCTTTACATTGATTTATCCTTTGATTGTTGGACAATCATAAAAGGGATATGTTGGATACTGTATAAATGTGTATGGAGGTTTATCTGTGGTCAACAAAGAATTCGACACTTATATGGATAAGTGAATTTCCTATGTTTTTCATAGTTTATGATTCAAAGACCTTGGCCAAGGCGGGATGAATATGGATTCATAAAAGAATCACTAAACTTGAAATGGAATCATAGTTATTAAATCAATTGAGTTTCGACATATAAATCCATACCCAAGATTTAATCGGGAAATTAGTTGTCGAAAGGATTTTACATGTATGCACTTGCAATTGAAAATGTTTATTCGCTATTTCACTTAATACTAGATAATCATGCTACTTGTTAGGTGTTACCATGATTTGTGGGTTCTTGAAATTAAGGAGTTAATTTCAAGAATATAAACTAATTAGATTAATTTAAGTTACAAACAAGTTGTAAACCCACTATAGTGTTAATAGTGAACCTAAAAGGGTCACACCAAAATTTGGATGATGACATTTTGAAATTGGTATTTCCAATAGTTGGATTAATTGACAAAAACTTAATTAAATAATTTGATTATTTAATTAAATCTAAATTTGATTAGATGTCAATTAAATGAATAAAATCAATTGGATTGATTAATTAGGCTTTGGATATTAATTAAGTAATTATTTGAATTACTAAATTAATAGTTGAATTTTAAAGTTGGACTTTAAAATTCAAATCCAAATATTAACATGATTATATATTAAAAGCCTACATAAAAGAGAAGATTTTATTCTACATGGGAGATAAGATTTTGACTAATTAATTTTTTGAAATATAGTTTTATCAATTATGGATCATTATCTTTAATTAATTTTCAATTAAAGTTTATAGATTAAAGTAAAATAAAATTGTTAGATGGGATCATGGGAGTTGTTGTCCAATCCAACTCACCCTAATTAATAACAAGAAGTTTTGTTTGGGTGTGAGTTGTAAGATGCCTTATCACATGATTATATATATGTTGAACATGGTTTGTTTCTGTAAAAACCTCATTGCTACATTAATATATATATACGTGAGTACATGAGATGTAAACATATGAAAATTAAGCATATCTCTCTATACCAAGAGAAGCTCTCGGTTTTTGAAAAAGAAGAATAAAAAATGAAAAGAAAATCTCCTCTCAATTTAATTCATTATACCAATTCAATTCCGGAAAATGTCCACTCTGGTTTTATTTGATGTTGGCTTGGGAACTGTACATAGATGTTCCACTCTCGGGGTCTGTTCCAAGCTTCTGAGACAACCTCTCTGATTCCTACTTTAGCTAATCACCTTCTGTCGAAGTAGAACTTCCTCTTAGCTTTTTCCTTTGATGGATCAAGAGTAATGAGTAGAAGCCCATGATCAGAGGAACTTCTATGAGTGTTAACAACTTCAACTGATGGGTAAATTGTATTCCAGGTAAGAGTACTGAACACTCTGTCTAGTTTTTCTTGCACTAAGCCTTCCCCCTCTCTTTTGTTTCCCCAAGTAAACCTGTGCCCTATCAATTCCAGCTCCACCATTCCCATTTTGACAATGAAATCCCTAAAACCTTGGAGAGAATAATCAGATCTTTTTCTTCCTCCCTGCTTTTTGGTTATCTACCAAGTCATTCCAATCTCCCCCCCATAAACCATCTCTCTTCCCAACTAGCTTTCTCTCCACACATATTCTCCCATTGAGACTTTCTTTGAGTTATAGTTGTGCTAAGACAAACAAAAATCCCCCACATACTAGATTGTTGAACCACATCCCAATACTGGACTTGAAACAAAAGGAACTTTTTTATAATATTAATAATTTAGATAGACTGGTCCTAACCCAAAAGAAGACCACCATTCTTACCCAAGGGGTCCCCCATAGCCCACCTATCATCTAAGCCTGAGTTTTAACAGATAGTGTTAACAAATTTTGATTTTTTTTTAAGGAAAATGAGGTCTGGGTGGAGTCTACAAACCTCCTTGATTTGGAAAATTGTAGAGCCCACCCAGTCCTCTACAATTCTACACCGCAGCTTTCATTGGGGGTTTGGGACCAATTTGGGTTGGCCTTCCTCACCCCATCAGTTTCCAATTTCCGCTTCTTCACAAAGTATGTGAGCATCTGAGAAGTTCCTTCTATTTTTGTGTGATGTTCAAATTGAGGGCCTACTTTTCTTTTGCTCCTTGCAGTTTTAGTTGAAGTAACCTGTGTTTTTGCATTTGTTGTCTTGGCTACCCTTCTTTCCATCCTCTTCTATTTCTAGCAACTACTTCAGAGTCTTTTGGTATATGGTTACTTCCTTCCACATCTTCTATACAAAGATCTGCCTCTCTATCCATCTCTTCTTCCAGCTGGAGATTGACTTGTTTCCCCATATAAGTCTCTTGTGTTGACATGGGTTTGGTGGGTTCAATTATTATTAATGGATTGATATTGATGGGTTCACAGGGTGCTTTCAAGATTTGTCTGTCTTTGGATGAAGCAGTTTGGTTATCTTTAATGCGGTTGGAGGTTTAATGTCGTGTTGGGGCCCTTTCGTGAGTCTTGCTGAATATCCTTCTTTTTTTTCTCACATTGTCTGTTATGGTGCCCTAGTATGCCACAGTAAAAACACAATCCCACCAGCCTCTCATACTTCAATTCAAGAGTTATCCTTTTTTCCCTAATTGAATAGTCACACATCCTAGAATGGGGTGTTCTAGATCAACAGTGACAAACAATCTTATACATTTATCTGCCAAGTTTCCCCCGAGGTAGAGAAACATCCTTCACCTTGAAAGCTCTACCTACTTTCAATCCAACCTCAAATGCCACCCAATTAATAGGTACATTCCAGGCTTGGACCCAAATGTCCAATTTTTTTAAGGAATGATGATCCGATCCTATGCCTTTCTCCCAGCCTCAAGAACCAAGAATTGATTATCAAAAGTCTAATTTGTACCTTTTGCCACCTTGGCTTTGTCTGCTATGTCCGAGAACACGAACTGGAAGAAATTCGACTTAAGAGCATCTCCAACCACAATCTCTATAGTTACAGTTTCTACAATAAAATCCCACTAGTTATACAGTTTCAACAGTGCCAGCAACTCCAACCCATTCCCTCTATAATTCCCCTCTAAAAGAATATTCCAACAATATTCTTTTCTTATTTAATTAGTTTATTAAATAATCTCTACAAATTATATTTTAATGTATTATGCTTGCTAAAATTTACATATTTACGTATATATATATATTAATTATCGATTAATAAGATTAATTACTAAATTTAAATAAAAAATCATAAAATTTCACACTACATAAAACGACGTGAATTTCATCACAAACATTAATTTGAAAAAAAAAACATCAACACAAACATGAAGCATTCAATACAACAAGAATTACAGAAAACAAAATACAACACTAGTTATTGCCATGAGAATATTTTTCCCACAAATGTGCAACCAATGCATTACGAAGTTCATAGTGGGCAGACTTATCCTTGATTCTTTTGTGTCGAGTAAGAAATTGTTGGAAAGAGACGTGATCTCGGGTGCTGGAGTAACCGTAGGAGCACCAAATTGAACATCACTTCTAATTGGTGCACTAAGATCCCGTTGCTCTTCGACATTCATATTGTGCAAAATAATATATGCTTTCATTATATCATTAAGCACCTCTTTTTTCCAAAAACGAACAGGACCCGCGACGATTGCAAACCTTTTTTGCAGAACTCCAAATGCACGCTCAACATCTTTTTTACATGCCTCTTGTCTCATTATAAAGTATTCCTCCATTGGATTTGATGGTGCAACAAAAGACTGAACAACAGTGGACCATTTTGGATATATACCATCTGCTAAATAATAGCCCATATTAAACTGTTTACCTTGAATGGTGTAATTAGCTGGTGGAGCGATACCTTCAGCAAGATTTGACATTAGAGGTGATGCTTCCAGCACATTAATGTCATTATTCGCACCTGGCATACCAAAATATGCGTGCCATATCCATAGATCATAATCTGCCACAGCTTCCAAAATAATTGTTGGCTTTCCGGAACGTCCAGCGTATTGACCAGCCCATGCCTTAGGGCAATTCTCCCATTCCCAGTGCATGCAGTCCAAGCTACCTAACATACTTGGAAAACCACGTTGTTCACCAATATGAAGCAATCTAGCGATATCATCGTGATTTGGTGATCTCAGATATTGTGCTCCGAAAACTTCAACGACTCCACGACAGAATCTCTTTACGCATTCATTGGCCGTTGACTCCGCAATCTTAAGATATTCATCGACACCATCTGTTGGAGTTTTATAGGCCAACTGACGAAGCGCCGCTGTCCCTTTTGTATATGTTGACAATCCAAGTCGACCAAGACCATCCCGACGTTGTTGGAAAAAACTATCATGATTTTCCAATGTTTGCATAACACGTTTGAAATTATGGATAGAAATCCGAAACCTTCGACGAAATGTATCTTCATCGTAGGTTGGATTACTACTAAAATAATCTCGAAACAGTGTGCGATGAGCCTTCTCCCGATCACGATGGACTACTCTATGTCCCGGAACAGAACCTCCCCAAGTTGGTTGGCTACTTTGTGCGGAGAGAGCATGTGCCATTAAAAAATTATTGGTTTGCAATATATGAGTGGTGGTTGATTCCAAAGTGTTATCAAATAGAGGCAATGAAGCATTTGCATCTTTCTCATCAGAATCATAATTATAAGGGGGAAGATAATTCATTGTGAATGATATTAGAGGGAAATATTACAGAAAGATTTGATAATGAATTTATATTTAGCTTGGATGATATCATGTATAGTTTCATGTTTATATAGACAAATGGATGAATAAAAGAAATACATTGTTTCTTCATTGGATTCTTTTTCAGACAATACCATGTGAAAAAAATTTGACCAACCCAATGCCAAATGCAATAGTTTTAGACAAGGTCATGTGATCATTATTACACAACATTATTATACGTTGGACAATGTCATATGATCATTGGATTCGATTCTAACCATTGGATTCTTTTTCAGACAATGCCACGTGAAAAAAATTTGACCAACACAATGCCAAATGGAATTATTTCGAACAAGACCATGTGATCATTATTACACTACATTATTATTGGACAATGCCATGTGATGGTATTGATTAGTTGGCATTGGACAATGCCATGTGATGCCATTGGACACTACAATATTACACTATATTTTTAAGTTTACACTACATTAATTTGACCAACGCATTATTGTTTGAAGTTGTCTCGTGATGGCATTGATTAGTTGGCATTGGACAATGCCATGTGATGCCATGTGATGCCATTGGACACTACATTATTACACTATATTTTTAAGTGTACACTACATTAATTTGACCAACGCATTATTGTTTGAAGCTGTCATGTGAATTCGTATATCTATTTATACATCAAACTTCAAGAAGCAACTACACACATCTCATTTCTTCTTCCATTATTGTAGTCTTCTTGTTCCCACTCTTCTTCAATTTCTTATTTTCTTCAAAATGTCTTCTTCAAAAGGGCCAAAATACTCCAAACCGGAAGATGTCTTAATTGTTAGATGTTACATAAGTGTTTCACAAAATCCAATATTGTCAAATGATCAAAGTTCTTCAACCTTTTGGAAAAAATACATGATGAATACAACTCCCAGAAACACAAAGATTTACCAGAACGCTCTATGAGGTCCCTTGGCTCTCATTACCGTCTCATGGAAACTCATTGTCGGAGGTTTAATGGATGTTTGAAGCAAATCGAATATCGCAATCCAGTGGAACACAAATCCCATCTAGAGTGAGTATTTTGTTTTAAGTTCAATCTCGGTTCATGTTATTTGCTTGTTTTATAAGTATACTTACAATTATATATCTTTTACTTTGTTTGTAGATTGAGCAAGCCGAACGATTGTTTGAACAAGACCCAAAATATAAAGATGGCTTCAAGTTTCATCATGTGTTCCGACGGTTCAAAGAGTTTGGTAAATTTGATGATAATGTGTCCCAACCACGATCTCGTCGTCGGGATTTCGATACACTCAATGACTCTTCCGAGTCCGACAGTCCATATGATGGACAACCAACACCAGAGTCTCCGGGATTGTCGTCTTTTAGTCCTCAACAAAGTGACGATGGTGTTGGTGGAACATCCTCTCAACGTCCAATGGGAGCGAAGAAAGCAAAATTGAAGAAGAAAAATGAAGACCAATTTCGCCAATATTTTCAAACTCTAAATGCTAAAAGTGATACTACTGTTGATTTGTTGCAGAAAGCCGATGAACGTCAAAATGTCCAGCTTCAATTGCAGAAACAACAAATCGATTTGCAGAAAAAGAGGGATGAAGATAGAATTTAGATGATAGATTTGAATTCCCTTACGAATCCCATGATACATTGGGAACAAAAACAAATGCAAATTTTACAAGAAAGAGAAATTGAGCAACAACAATCTCAAGCAACACAACCATCATCTAACACGGGTCAATTTGGATTTCTCGACGACATCGGGCGTGACGGAGGAAATTTGAATGATTATTATGGTGACAATTAAGTCTATGAAATCGTCTATTTGATAATCCTTTTTTAGTTTTTATTTTTATGTTTCGTATTAATTATTGTTGTTGTAGTATATGTGAGCTTTAAGATGAGTTTTTTAGTTTATTTTTATGTTGTGATTTTAGTTTTAGTGTTTGTACTTTAATTTTAAGTGTGTTGAATGTTTATCCTTATTTTGTAATTTTAACTTGTTTGTTTGAAATATTTATTTAAGTGAATTTAAGTACTAATTAATATTCTATCATACTAATTAATAAAAGTATCCAAATTTTCATTATAGTACTTAAATTTCTACCATATTAATTACAATAATTAAGTTTAAAACTTTTATAAAAATACTTTAATTTCACTCATAAAATTGAATAAAAATAATTTTAATAAATTTACATAAAAAATTGAACTTGTCCGTTTATAATATTTAGTTACAATTATTAAGTTTAAATAAAATTTATACAATATTTTAATTTATTCCATTAAATTATTAAAAAAAAAAACCAACTCATCTAGCCCAATTGTAGTTAAAAACAACAAAAAGAAGCCCAATCCCTTGCCCAAAATTTGTTAGCCCACTTCATTTTTTACTGAAAAAGAAAACCAAAAAAAAAAAAAAAGTTAAGAGAATGAACAGTGGAACGGTGTGGAATCCGTTCCACAAACCTCTCCCCCTAAAATAGCGGAAAGGACAGAGCTTGGATGGAGATAATTTTTCTCTATAGAAGGCGTTTTCACTGGGTTTACCGGGTGAGTTGGAGATGCTCTAAGTACTTTAATCATGATTGTGGAGGCGTAATTTGCCACATCTGTCCAATAACTCTTTTTAAACCCACCAGATTCACTTTTTTCAATCCCAATATTTTTTCGAATAAGCTTGTGTCACATTCTCAGAACTTTCCCTAATGTCATCTTCTACAATGGGAATTACTGTTGCTCCTTTCTCAGAATGTTGAATGGTGTGGAGCTTATGAGCCAACTCTGTGTCCATAATCAGAACCTAATTAAGCGAAGAGGCGCCGCTGACTAGAAATCGGAGAAACCTTAAAAAACACAAACAAGGGAAGAGAAGAAACCAGCATAAACACACTCCAAAACAGAGGGGAAGAACCAACAAGAACGCACGATAACAACTCCCTTAGAAAAGGGATAAAGCCTGCAAAGGAATCAGCTCCAAGGGTAAGAGGAGGCTCTCAGAAACGAGAGAATTTGATGTGGACTCAAAATTCTCCGTAGTATCACATTTTTGAACCACTGAAACGAAACAAAATAATTACTACTCCCACTCTTACCACTACCAATACTACCACCACCACCCTGTACTGCACGAAATAGCACTACAGCTCGGCATTGTTTTTTTCTTTAGCCAAATGCTGATCCGAAATCAAATTATTAGACATAAAATGGTTGACGTGAAAGAAACCAATTCAGTGCACAATTCACAAAATTAGAAAAAAAAAATAGCAAGAAGCAAAAACCCTTTTTCCTGGAAAAATGGATTAAAAAAAAAAAAGATTACATACACCCTATCATTGGAAACTCAATATAGACACGTGCTGATAAAGAAAAAGAAAAGGAGCAACCACACAGAAGCACCAATTTTTCCATGATCAGGTGAATATCAATTTCAATCACTCACCACTGATACTCATGTACAACTAAGAATACGGATCACATGGCCATCTTGTGACGAATATCATCAGCAACCAATTGCGTGCTGGGTTCGCCACATGATACCGACCACTGTGTTCTCCTTTTCAAATTCTTGGCTTGAACCAATCATATGGTCAATGATTAAAGTCCAGTGCATCACTCGGCTTTCAATTTCAGAATCTCAAATGCGGTCCTTCGCCTAAAATAAGGCATATGTTCCTACAACCAATAAATAAACAAATAAAGGAGAATTCTACTAACATACAGGATGATACAACTGCCGTACGAGGGGGCTACCTGACTAAAACACAGTCCAATGTCTCTGCTGTAGAAATCGGCATATTTGATCATAAATACGCCACAGTCAAACCTGTTCCAGGAATCAAATTTAAACATAACTGAAGGCTTGATTTAATTAACTGGGAAAATATCGTGTTCCCATGCAGGAACACACAAGAGACAGGTCAACTAGTTCAAAAGGTGTCATCTAGTGGCATACGTGTCGTCTCCGTATGTATATCACAACTAGGTATAAAGCTAGTTTTGATTTATATCATCAAAGAGTGACACTGGATTTTAGAAATAGTCAGGGAACGGTTTCTCAAGGGCAAAACAGTCCTTTTACGGTAGTTACAAAACAGGAGCTACAAGTCACAACCTACAATCCACCTTTATATTTATAAATCAGCAAAGTTGTGTTGTCTTTAGGAAATAGGAATATTCTTTCAAATTTTTTAAAAATTTCTAGCCAATAAAAAATAATATTATACAGAGACTTCTACACAATACCCATTTTCCTGCTTAGGAAGATCTGTGACAAATTCTTTCTCCCACGAACTAACGTTAATGTCTTTTCCACACTTGTCCTGCACCTCATCAACAAAATATCTGGCCTGCATATTGAATCCAAATGAGTCATGCAACATAAAATGTATATAAAGTCATCACCTAGAAACACATCAATTTTATTATTTTCTTCAACATATAGCTCAAAAAAAACTTCCAACAACAATAAAAATAGAAACTTTTGACAAGACGAAGTTACCAGAACATTCAAAACTTGAAAATCAACCCCTCCGAGTGAATCAAGATACTGAAACTTTTCATCCTTCTTGCTGATAATCGCTAGACACCAATGAATTTCCTTGTGAATTGGCACAAAAATCTAAAGAAAAATTTGAAGTGTGAGTGAGTACAACTCTGGAAAGAACAAGGACGTGGAAAATTTGTTAGAGAACTGAAAATGGAAAAAGTAAATTTCACTGTACCTTATCGCACTCCAAAAGATTATATCCAAGTTTCCTACGTGTGGTCCATCTCCTAACTGATTGGAAATTGTAGCCACCTTTACCACTGATCAGCTGGACATAACAAATGGCATAATAGCAAAATGGTAAAGAACTCTGCAGCGCAGACTTTACTGGAGCATAGAAATGCAGAAATCAGGAAATGCAAAGGAAATATAGATTCGTTAATCAGAAAACTAGCAATAAATTGTTTCGCACTAATGAAACCTATCAGTGGTGTGAACGGAAAAGGCAAAATATTTTAATACAAAAAGACATCTTTTCACTTGTGCAAACTGGCAAGGCCAAATAGGGTATAATTGCCTAAATAAGATTCAGCAATCAGAAGCGAATTATATATTTTTCGTACTGCATTTTAGTTCTTTCTTTGTATAAAAGTTCACACTAAGTGACTTTCCGGAATCAGAGTTTGATTAAAATAGTAATCATAGGTTATCTTATTTAGAATGCACAAAGTATTAGTGTGTGCCCACGGGCGACTAGGGGTATTCTTACTATACACAAATGGTATATCGGATATAATGCAACAAAGAAATTGAAGTCAACATTGGAAATAAAATTTGATAAATATACATTATTGTCTCACATGCTTCGATTATGCAACATATTTGTTAGATCGCTGAATTGAAATAAGTAGATCTGAAAGGCGAAAGTAGTGAACTAGCCTTCTTATAAAAAAAGGTGTTGAAGAAATGGCATTTCAAAAACTTCTCTGGCTCCCTTTTTTCCCTTTCTTTCAATAATTCAAGATACAAATTAATGACCTGCAAAGCAAGGAACAACACAAAGTAAACACATAAATTGCATCATAGCCTCCCAACAACAGCTTCAGCATGTAAAGTTGAACATTTATACATCATTCCATACAAACAGAAGACACATTACCTCATCATTAAGCCACGCTCTGGGTCTCAAACACTGCAATTTCTCTCCAGTTATATCGATATTTGAATTCTCATGAGTCACCAAAATTTTTCTCCTAAAGGTCGAGTGGAGACGAGCACAGTAAATATGCATGTAGGAAAAAAGACACCAATTTCAACAAGAATACGAAATTGCTATACCTATTTGGCTTCGACAAGGCATAAGAAACTTCACTCTCTTCCTTCTCTGTAAGGGGCACGAAACACTCTTTCGCCACATCCTGCAAATAAACGAGACCCATACTATAAATCATCATGCAACATACGACCAAATACTAAATTGCAAGCAACATGGAAACGTCTCACCTTCTTAATTTTCTCTCCTTTCTTCTTAGAAGACAGTAAAGGAATCCGCTGCATGTGTTTCTCACACATCTCTATCTCATTTTGTAAGCTTACCAAATTTGGTTCATATGTCTTGCTTATTCGATCTAGCATCTTTTTATACGACGGCAATCCAGAGTCATCTGCTTCTAGGTCCAGCTGCATAAGATCAACTTTATCCCCATCATCTTCTTTCACAACTGCATTGCTTGCATCTGCTATGACAGACGAATCCAAAGACCTCACTTCTTTTTCAACTGTCTTCAAATTCGGTTGACGTGAATTTTCCACATCCTTTTGCCATTTCTTTCTCTTGCTGCCCACAGAAGTAACAACCTTCAACCCCTCAATGCCGGGATCATCAATGATGTCATCTCTTTCATCATCCTCACTATCAACCTCAATCACCTCCTTCACTTTCACCTTCCCCAAAGTCACACATCGCAAGGTTCTCTTTGCTCCCGTCCGGGCTTCTTCATAACGAGCTTCTAAATAAAACCGGTTAAAAAAACCGAACCTCCCCATTACTGGACTTTCTTCGGAACTACCAGCAGATTCACTTCTCTTAGCGGAAGAAGAGGGTCTGAATCTTGAGTTCCCTGTAGGGGCATGAACCTCCCGTGAATAACCCGGTTTTCTATCAGGATACTTAGCAATTCTCGACGCAATCGAGCTTGGCGGTTGGGGGCGGCTGTTTTTCGGCGTGCGTTGAGCCGGAGAAATTGAAAGTTTGGGCTTTTTGGCAATGTGAATGTAGGATTGATCTATTGGGGCTGATGGCGAAACCAGAGATTTGTAATAGTCGTCCCCTCGCTTCCGGTTGTTGGTTAAAGCCCCCATTACTGGAAACCCAAATGAAGCAGAAAACCTAGCTGAGAAAAGTGACGGCTCATCCAAAAGTTTGCATCTACGCAGAAAGAGAAGACAAAAAGAATGGAAAGAAAGAATTCGCAGTAGGGTTTTCAAATTTCGGGGGAAAGGGTAGCTGAAGATGAAATTAATCAAGATATTATGGAAATCAAGAACTGCCTTATAGTTTTGCTGCTTATTCGACCTCAGAAATGTGATATGGGCGAAAACGACTGCTTTGATGAAAAATTGGGAAGTTATTCACAAAGACCAAAAAGGAAGGTTTGTCTTGTCCGTCAAAAAGAATACGGTAATCTCGAGCCTGATTTTCAGAACAAGTAGTACTCCACTTCCTAGGACCGCGGTATGATATGGTGTTAAAGTAAAATAAAATAAAATAAAATAAAAAAAAGTTATACAGTTATTAAAAATGTGGAATAAAATTTTTAATTCTTACATTTTAAATTTCTTCATTAGATACATTAGCGTAAAGAAATCGTGTTAAATTTCCCATTCCTATTGTGTTTCAACATGAACAAAACAAGATTAATCCAGTTAGGCAAGTTAGATCATTTGTGAGAATCCTAAAAGCAAAACTACTGAGGGAATGGGAAAACCTGAGAGTAGTAATGGGAACAATGAGGATAACCAGAATAACTCAATAGGGGCTAAAAGGAAAGGGGATGGAAGTTATGTGTTGGTATTTGATAAGGCAATCACATATCATAAAAAACAAAAAACATATGCACAAGAGGCTTTTAAAATGGTGGAGGAGACCGGCCATAAATGGTCTCAAAGTTTCAAATGAAAGTTTTGGTGTAGAATTGTAGAGGTTTGAGGGGACCCTCTATAATTTCCCAACTGAAGGATAAATTCAAATCCTACCTCCCAGATTTTATCTTTATGTCTAAAACCAGGAAAAAAGAAGCTTTTGTAAAAACTGTTTGTAAAAAATTACATTTTGATGATAGATGAGTAACAGTAAAT